TTTAAACGGGAAATTTTATAAAATTGACAGAGAATTAAAATTTTAACAAAACTCTTCACCCTGTAGGTGGTTAACAGTCTATAAAAAATACTAGAATTGTCAAGAATTTAATTTAAACGTCCTTTTGTGACAATTATAATCTTCTGCTAGTGTTCGGCTGTGGCTACTACTATTTAAAAGCGCTTAAAAATTACAATAAAATTTTCTGTCCTTCAGGATGTTGTTCAGAAACATCACAGCAACAATCTTGATTGTTAGCAGTCCATAAAAAATAATAAAATTAAAAAGAATTTAACTTAAACGTGTTTTTTTAACAATTATAATATTCTGCTAGCGTTCGGCTGTGGATACTACTATTTAAAAGCCCTTAAAAGTTACAATAAAATTTTCTAGACTTTAGGATGTTGTTCAACAACATTCCAGCAACAATCTAGGTTGTTAGCAGTCCACAAAAAATAATAAAATTTAAAAGAATTTAATTTAAACGTGTGACTTGAGATTTATTTGCAAAATAAATTTATGATGGAGGGGAAAGACTGATTTTTTCGTTTGGATTTGCATGAAAAAGAAATATACAGTGGAAATAAAAAATTATATATTATATGAAAATTGACTTTATCAGATATTTGTTGTTCATAATACACGATTTTGTACGTAATTTTTTAAGGTCTTTGAGGATTTTGTCTGAGGATTAAAACATAAAGCTTTTCGAAAAGCTTAATATACACGTTCCTCGTGTAGCCATACACAATAGTCAAGTCTTTCATCGGCAGTTCAATATAAATATTGCAAAAGAGAATGAAAATAATAATTAAATTCATATCTTCATTATAATAAAATAATAAATAATAAATAAACTAAAATAAATAAGGAAATAATATAAGAAGTTCAGAAAATAATAAATTATAAGAAAAAAACTGAATGAAATAAGTAAAAAACATAATAATTAACTAATCATCATCATCATCAACAAAAGTCATTCAGTGTTTGTAAATAAATAAATAAAAGAACTTTGACTTTTTAATCAAATTGAAAGTAAAGTGCATGTCTTCAAATATATTAATCTATACAGAACTGTAAGAATGGAAGTTATGAAACAGGCGCTGATATCAGGGTTATCAAAAAAATTTCATTTTGTTTTTCCCTGATTTCCAGACTTTTTCCTGATTGATTTTGACTTTTTCCCTGACCCTAAAGAACATTCTGATTCACTACAAAAATTATTAGAAACACCAAAAAATTTTCCTATTACTATTCAAACTTTTTTGAAATTCAACTTATAATAACTATAAAAAATACTAAGTGATAAAATCATTATTTTATATTTCTAAGAATATTAATACTTTACTTTCCTCAAAATTATTTTCACCATTTCAATTCAATAATCATTTTCTTTAATTTTCAACTAAAATTCTTCTTTAAATCAATTATCTACATTAATTTTTAATAATTTTTGAAAATGTTCTTTGAGAATTTTCAAATTCATTTGTTTACAATTTTTGCAAAGAATTTTATTGAGATTTATTCAATTATTGTTTAATAATTGAATTCATGCGAAGAATTTTAATTAAATTTTTAAGAATAATTACATTTTTCGAGGATTTTTATTAAAATCGCGCGACTAACTTCTTACTACCTTTTTTTTTTTTTAAATAAAATTAGCAATTTTAAAAATAATAGAATTTAAAAATTTTCTAATTTAAATTTCTGTTGTAAACACTAAAAAAAATTGAATTTTGGACAAATTACAAATAATTGCAGAAATTTAATTATTTCAAAAAAAAAATAAGTGTCTTCTTATGAAATTCAACTAGGTATGTTCCAAATTTGATAAAAAATCTCGTAAAAATCCCAATTATCTTTATAAATAACAAAAATTCTTCTCCAAAGTTCAATTATTTTCATAAATGTCAAAAAAATTATTGGTAAAATTTCAATTATTTTCAAAAAAGTTTCTAATTTCAATGTTTTTCAATATCTTTTATTTTAATAAATTTTCCCAAAAAGAATTCAATTATATTGAAAGAAAAATGTTAATAAAATTGTATGCAAACATTTAATTATTTTCATAAATAATAAAAATTTTACAGGAATTCAATTATTTTCATAAATAATGAAATTTTTTAATGAAATTTTTTTAAGGAATTCAATTATTATTTTCATAAAAAATAATTTAAAATTCTAGAAAATAATAATATTGAATTAAAATGACGAACAAAATTTTTTTCTATTTGAATATTTTAAAAAAAATTTATTATAAAAGAGAAAAAGAATTAAAATTCAACATTTTCCTAGATTAAGAATTAATCTTTTTAATAAACAAAATATTTTTTTTTATAAAATAAATAAATTAAAAAAATAAAAAAAACAAAAAAAACTTCGTCGTTCATTTGAACGTTCAAAACTTTATTGACATTAAATTTTTATAGTTAATTCTTGCGAAGAATTTTATTAAAATTTTCGTAAAAATAATTAAATTCCTGTGAAAAATTCGAAGAAATTGAATTAAATTATCAAAAAATTTTATAAAAAATTCTTCGCATGAATGAAAAATAAAATAAAATTCTTTGCACAAATCTACAATTACTTTCAGAAATTTAATAGAAATTTTTTGCAAAAATTTTAATATATTTCTGTTAAATAATAAAATTTTTTGGAGAAATTCAATTATTTTGAAAAATCTTAGTAAAATTCTTAACAATTATTCAATTAGTTTTCATAAATCAAAATTTGCACAGAAATTCAAATATTTTTAAAAAGTTTTGATAAAACTTTTGTCAAATTGGAATTCAATTATTTTTAATACAATTTTTAAAAAATTTCCCGATTCGTTTAAAAAGTAAAGGAAATACAGTTTTCTTTCTTTTCTTTCGTTTGGTTAAAAGGTTTTTTATTTAATTTAAATTATTTTTTTTCATTTCTATTTTTATTAATATGAAATTTTTTGAAGTTTTATTTTTCTGCATGAAATTTTTTTTTATTTTTATATTATTGAAATTGTTTTTATTTTTATTTATGAAATTTTTTTAATTTTTATTTTTATTAATGAATTTTTTTTTAATTTTCATTTTCATTAATGAAATATTTTTTATTTTTATTTTTATTAATGAATTTTTGGAATTTTTTTTTAATTTTTATTTTTATTAAAGAAATTTTTTCTATTTTTATTTTTATTGATAATAAATATAATAATTTTATTAATAAACTATGAATTTTTATTTTTATTTCAAATGGCCTCTTAACCCAGAGCCAGTTTCTCGGCGCGAAATTTAAATTCATTGGAAACAGTAAAAAGAAATCTAACCAGTTTAGAAACTTTTAATTCAATTTTGCCGCTGGATATTTGGTCCAATGCTTATTTTTCTCACTTGCAAAAAAAAATGATAAATTTATTCCTCGACGAAAGATGAAAAAAACCATCAGTTTTTAAAACATTATATTAATTAGCTATACTATTATAGTAAAACGAAAAATACAGAATCGATTTTAAAAATAATTTTTCAAAAATAAAAAAACCTTTTATTTTCGATTATTTTTCTTTTTGGTTATTTTTCTTTTTGTAAAGTATAAAAATATATTGAATAAAAAGGAAGAAGAATTGTGAATAAAATGACGGAGAATATGGTAGTGGAAAATAATGTTAGTAAGAGAAGTTATTTAGAGGGGTACAAAAGTATGTTTCACTTCAGTTGAAAGAAGAACGTCGAGTATGTCAGATACTCTCTCTTTTCGCGAAGACTAGTGGATTCTGCATGTAACGAGGTGAGTTTTATGTGTGGATGTTGGAAAAAGGTGCATTATATGAATGTATCGGAAGAAAGTATTTCCGGGTCGTGTACATTTGTGTTACTTATATAATTAATATATATCTTGAGTGTAAATATTGAGAAAATACTCTCACCAATAATATTTTCAACTCCTTTGTTTTGTATTCATATAAATATTCACGTATTCATTGTTTTTCTAAATAAAAAAAGTAAATAAATAACAAAATTTTCATTCTTTTCTAAATATTTCAATTATTTTGTTCGAATTAAAAAATAAATAATACTTCCAACAATTTTTAATTCTTTTCTAAAATTTTCAATTATTGTCTTTTAATAAAAAAAAAAATAAATATTTCCACCGATTTTCATTCTTTTCTAAAATTTTAAATTCTTTACTTAGAAAGTTTAACTATTATTTATTTTAATATTGTTTCATTATTATTTTTTTATTATTTATTTTATATACAATTTTTTTAATAAAAATATAATTATTATCACTTCGTTGTTTTAATTTTTATTATTTATTTATTTTTATTTTTTTATTTTATTATTATTTTTTAGTTTATTTATTTTTACTATTTCTATCAACATTTTGTTATTCAAATATTTATTTATCTACACAAAGCCCTTAATTCATTACTGTTTGTAGTTTTTATTGTATTTTTATTATTATTTTTATTATTTAATGTCAACTTTCTGTTGAAATAAATAATTATTAATGTTAATATTGTTTTTCTTTTATTTTCATTATTTTTATTACTATTTTGTAAATAAAAATATTTTGGTTTTTTAAAAATAAAAAAAGCAAAAAGAAAAAATTTTTCTTCTTTTTAAAAAAAAAAAATAAATAAAACTTTGTTTTTATAAATATCAAAAGGAAAATAAACATTTTTGTGTTTTCTTTCTTTTTTTCAATTTTTATAATTAATTTTTTAATTATTTTTTTATTAATTTTTTATTTATTTTTTTTATTAATTTTTTATTTATTTATTTTTTTTATTAATTTTTTAATTATTTTTTTTTTTTTATTAATTTTTGTATTAATTTAAAATTAAGGTCGCTACACGGAGATGGACAATGCCATCTTCAGTGTTTGAGGGAAAGCTGAAAAATACACCTGTTAAACGTTATAAAGCCGACAATGTCGATCCCACCAACCCCCTTCCCTTTCAAATAAAATTGAATGCAATGATAACTGAAGTTTGTCCTTTAGAAACATTCTATCAGTAGTTGTTTGGAATTGTAGCGAATTCATATACAGCAATTGGATGCACAATAATTTATAATCGCGAGTTAGTATCAGTGTATAAAATAATGTGCCAGTGTTCTTTATAATACTTTTGTAAAAAGAAAGAAAAAAAAAAAACGAATACCATTGAAAAAATAATTGGCAATGTACAAGAAAATTTATTTCAAAGAAGACGATTAAGACGGGTAAATTTTCATTCTTAAAGTAAAATACTCAAAGGGAAAAATTTTTTTTTCTACACTAATAATGAGAATATAAAAAATTAAAAATAATAAAATATAAAAAATTATTTAAAATTTAAATTTCTGAACTAAAAGTTCAGAATTCTTTTTATATAATTAAACTACAATTTTTAATACACTGAAAATTTAATTTAGTTGATAAAAAAATTTTTTTTTTCTTTAAATTAAAAATAAAAAACTATTAAAAAAATACAGAAATTCTTTTTAATAAATAAAAATACAATTTTTAGTAACTTGAAATTTAATTTAGTTGAGAAAAAAATTAATTTTTTCTTTTTTTAAATAAAAAAATACAGAAATTCTTTTTAATAACTAAACTACAATTTTTAGTAACTTGAAATTTAAATTAGTTGAGAAAAAAATTAATTTTTTCTTTTTTTAAACAAAAAAAATACGGAAATTCTTTTTAATAACTAAACTACAATTTTTATTAACTTGAAAATTAATTCAGTGGAGAAAAAAATAAAAAATGAGTTAAATTTAAATAATTATTATTTATTATTGTTAATTGCTTCTAAAAATATTTTTTATACGAATTATACGGCGATAATTTTTCAACTTTATATATTATTTGCAAATTGGTAAAAATCGCATTTTTTTCGAATGAACCGCAAAAAATTTTTTAGTAACGAACTCCTCTCCTTATAATCTTTTATTTATTTAAGTGCAAAACAAGCAAAGAAATGATATCAATGATAAACTTCTCTCAAAGAAAATTTTATAATGCAAAAAACATGTAAACTTCGTTTGACATTAAATAATAATATTTATTTATTAACTATTAATTTAATTATTTAATTTTATTTTTATTATTAATAATTAATAACTAATAATTATTAATTAATTATTAATTATTATTTCTTCAATTATTATTTGTTATTTATTTTTTATTTATTATTTGTTATTTTTTATTTACTTGTTATTTTTTATTTATTTGTTATTTTTTATTTATTATTTTTTATTTATTATTTACTAATTTTATTAACATTAAATATTAATTGAGAAACTAAGTTTCATTTATTTTTGCGACTGAATTAACTGAACTAAATAATTAAAAAAAATTTATTGGAAATTAAACTAAAAAAAAACTAAAAAAAAACTAATAAATACAAACTAAAATCAAAATAATATAAATAAACCAAAAAGTAATTTAAAAAAAAAATAAAAACTAACAAAATACGAAATTCATATCTGCACGTAAAAATAGTAAAATAATTTTTTTTTTTTTCATATACTTCTCGCAGAAAATGTTTTACTCAATAATGGGATATTTATCTCAAAATTGAATCTTTTAAGAAAATAATTTTATGTACGATATTAGTTTTCCATATTTATGTATATACATAAACAATATGTTAATTTCATTCTTAAAAATGATTTGGAGAAATTTTTTTTTTACGAATTAAGAAAAATAAATTTTTTATTAAAAAAAAAAAGAAAATACAAATTGAAAATGTCAGTTATTATTATCTATTTAGGAAATCATGCAGGTCAAGAACTTGGTGTACTTTTAAAATCAATATTGCACTAGTTTATACACGTGAGCAAAAAAATAGGTATGAATTAAATCAAATTTTTTCTTAATAAAATTCTTCTTTAGAGAAAATAAAATAAAAAAAAGTGTTCGAATTACTGTACACTGTCTTCCATTCATAGCGGATAGTCCAATTATTTTAATTTCAAATTAATTATTTATTATACAGTTGTTTATTAATTTATTATATTAATTTTTTTATTATTCTTTTACTTTAGTTTATATTTCAGTTTATTATAATTTATATTTATGTAATTATTATTATTATTATTATTATTATTATTATTATTATTATTATTATTATTATTATTATTATTATTATTATTATTATCATTATTATTATTACTATTGTTGATTATTAATAATTAATAATAATTAATATTAATTAAATATTAATTTAGTATTAATTAAATATTAATTAAGTATTAATTAAATATTAATTAAAATTAATAAAAAAATATTTTGCTTCCTCATAGGGAAAGGATTGTATTTTTAAACAATTTATTAATTAGTTAATAATTAATAATAATTATTATTATTGTTAATATTAATTATTAATATTAATTTATAGTATAATAAAATTAATTTTCATATATTATAATTTATATTTATTAAAAATGTAAATTTTTGTAAACAGAAAAGTATTTTTTTTCCTCATTAAATTTATAATCTAATGATAAAGAAACAATTTTTTCTGGTAAATATTTATTTAGAGTGGACTCACGATATGTTCTTAATAGATCAGTAATTGGGGATAGTTGCCCTAAATTAGACTAATCGCTCTACTCCTTTAGGAATAATGTAATTTGTACTCATTTCTATATTTATTTTTGCCTTCGTGCAAACTGGAAACTGTATTATGGACTAGTCATTATTTGAAATATTAAATATTGTAACAAATGTTGATTAATGCTTATTTGAAGGTTCTGCGATAAAAAAGAGTTAATTTTTTCTTGCAAATATTAGCTAATATACCTAATTATCATTTATAAACATCTATTTAATTTTTTTTTTTTACTTTTTCGAAATTATTATTTTTATTTATAAAAAAAAGTAATTTATAATTGTTGAATTATATACATATATATAGTTTATATTATATAAATATATATTAATTATTATTATTTATTATATAAATATTATATTAATTATTATTATTTATTATATAAATAATTATTAATTTCATTTATTTTCATAATTATTTTTATTATTTATTTATTGAAGAAATAAATGGGACAATTTTTCTTTTCTTTTACATAATTTATTAAAAATTCTTTGTTGCTCGGAATAAAAAATTTTTATTCTTTAATTTATCGTTTTGTTAAAAGTTATTAAAATATGTTTTTAGAAAAAAAAAATTCATTCCGTCAAACAACTTAATATCAATGTAAAGACAATTTGAATTCAGAAACTTGTATTGAAAACGTCATTAATTACTCGAATAATTATTATCTTATCATTTTTTTAAACTACGTAGAGAATATTTTTTTAAAATAAATAATCTAAGTTAGTGAAACGTTTCTTATAAATTCAAATACAATAAGTGTCCTTAGTGTTTTTTAAAATATTTTTTTTTCAATTGCAAATGATATTCTTCAAAAATAATAACATTAGAAATAAAAATTCAAAAAAACATTTTTTTTAATAAATAAAAATAACAACAATATAATAACAATAATAATAAATTAATAACCGATTACTGATTTATTACTTTCTAAATTTTGAATTGGTAAATATGTTTACTAATTTGAATTAGTGATTGAGTTTTTGTTTTTGAATTAGTTAAGGGGATTTGAACCTTGATGACGTCACAGTTTGTGCAAAGCATTAGTTTTAAATCTGTGACGTCATCATGGTTCAAATGCCCTTAATTTTACAAAAAAAATAGTACTTTCTACTAATTTATTAGTATTTCAATTTTACCAACAAATTAGTAGAGTAATAAATAAATAGATAAAAACAACGTAATTGCTACTAATTTATTAGTAAAATTGTCAATTTCACTAATAAATTAATAAATATTATTAATTTATAATTTTATATAATTATAAATAAATAAATAATAAATAAATAAATAAAAATTAACTAATTTCTACCTAAATTTGTAAATTTTATTAATAAATAAATAGAAATTACAATTTATTAGTAAAATTTCCGAATTCAAAAGCAAAAAGTCATTCACTAATTCAAATTAGTAAACATTTTTACTAATTTACACTTAGAGAGTAATAAATAAATATTTACTTGAATCAAATAATTTTTAATACAAATAAATTAAATTATATTTGCTTCAAATACTGAAATTATTGGTTCAATTACAATATATTTGGTTCAAATAAAAAATTACTTGATTCAAGTAAATAATTATTTGATAACAGACAAGTATATAAACTTATAAATAGAAAAAATGTAAAATGTAAAATTAGACAATAAATAGAAATTATATAATTTTTTTATTTAAAGAAAAAATTTTGAATAACTTTCCAAATTATCTAAGAGGTAAAATATTTTATTTCCGATATAAATTAGAAAAAAAATAAGAAGTCAACAACCATTAACAACCGGTCTCTCTCTCTCTCTCTCTCTCTCTCTCTCTCTCTCTCTCTCTCTCTCTCTCTCTCTCTCTCTCTCTTTCTCTCTATTAATCGCATGACTTGCAAAATTATTATTAAACTTTATTCATCAATTTGTATATTTCCCCAAATTTTTACACTAATATTTTAGAAATTATTATTTAATAAGTTTTAAATTAATTTTTACTTTTTTAAAATTCAAATTCAATAGTTTCTGCCTGTTGATTTTTTTAATGCGTCGTTTTTTTTTTTTACTACAACTAATTAATTAACTAATCTATAATTAATAAATTAATTTCACGAAAATGAAATTAATTTCATTACAAATTGTAGTTATATGTAATTTTATAAATAAAAAATTATTATATAATAATTAATAATATTAATTACTAGATATAATAATTAATATTTTTACTGCTAAATTAATTATATTTGTTTTAATTTGACAATTTTTAAATGATTTTATTTTTATTATTTAATTTCTAATTTAAATAAAATAATTAATTGAATAATTAAATAAATCCTATTAATATAAAAAATTAATTTAAAATGATTTTAACAATAATTAACAATAATTAACAATAATTAACAATAATTGTTAATTAAAAATCATTTTAAATTAATTTTTTATATTAATAGGATTTATTTAATTATTCAATTAATTAATTTATTAATTCATTTAATTTGTTATTAAATTTGTTTATTTAAAAAAAAAATGTTTTCTTTTATCTGCAGATGAAAACTAGATTGTAGAAAATAAATATAATAATAATTTTATATTCTTTGATATTATTATTATTAATCATCTGTGATACATTGGAAATAACGATTTCCTCACTTAAATGAAATAATTGACATTATAAAAGAAAAGAAAATTTTATATAGTTATATATTTTAATGTCAAGTTATAAACGATCTACAACGTTACACACTCGTCATTTCTAAACAATTATTATTGGCTAAAAGTTCTTGTCCCTGAGACAAATTACTACGTAAAACTTCCGCCTATAAAGAAATCGATAAGGCGAATATAATAAATAATAGAAATAACTTTACACCATCTTTTTTTTTATTTTGTTTAAAAATAAATTTTTTTTTCTTATCTCTCACATATAATTCGACAAGATATTAAATTTTTCAAGAGCAGGAGAATAAAAAAGAATTTTTTTTTTTTCCAACAGCTAAATAATGTAATCAATATTCCTTACAAATAGCCTACAAACAAGCTTTTTCTGCGTACATGAAGAATCAATAATGTCGATGAAAATATACAATCTCTCATTTACTAGTGCAATTTGCCAATATGAATGTTTAAAAAAATTTTTTTTGTTTTTTCTCAAAATGCAAATGATTTAATTAATAAAAACGTATCTTTTTAGCATTTATTGTATTATGAATAATGGGGAAAATAATAGATATTTTTTTTTCATGAAAAATAATTCAATTATAATAATCAATCAGAAAACTATTATTTCGCAAATGAGAATTATTGATTAATTTATGTTTGTACAACAAAATTGATGTTAATGTGCATATTAGAAGTTAAATTGTTGGAATAATTTTACATTCAAATATTTTTCTTAGAATAAAATTTTTATTTACAAATTGTAAAAAATTTTCTTTTGTACATAAATCTAAATTTTTTTTATAAATTAAATAAAATTTATTTAAACTAAACAAAGTTCATTTAACGTAAATTGAATTTATTTAACAAATAAATTTTTTTTTAACATAAACATAATTTATTTAACATAAACAAAATTTATTTAACATAAACAAAATTTATTTAACATAAACAAAATTTATTTAACATAAAAAAAGTTTATTTAACGTAAATAAATATATTTACCATAAAAAAAGATTGTTTAACGTAAATAAATATATTTATTTGCTATATAAATAAAAATTTGGTTAAATTTATTTTAATAATTAAATTTTTTCGAGGCCTTTTATTAAAATTCTATTGAAAATAATTTCATTCCTGCGAAAAATTTTATCAATTATAAACATAATTGAATTTTTTCAAGAAATTTTATTAAAATTTGTTTTTAAAGAGTTATTGAATTATTTCGAAGAGAATTTTATTATAATTTTTGAGAATTTTTAGAAAAAATTTCAATTTAAAATTACTCAAAAATTCAATTCTTTCTAGAAATTTTTTAAAAATTGAATTGAAAATATTTGAATTTACGCGAAGAACTTTATTATTTTTTTTTTAATAATTTAATAAAAAATAAAATTCTTACGAGAAATGTCATTAAAATTGTATTGAAAATAATTGAAGAATTATTACTTTTGAGACGAATTTTATGAAAATTTCCAAAAGTAATTAAAATTTTTTGAACATAATGTTTAATTAGGTTAATTTTTAATTATTATTTAATTATATATGGAACCACTTTTGTAAATTTTACTAGACAATTATTGTGTCTATGCGAGCAAAAGTGAAACTATATATATATATAAATAAAGAGAGGAAAAAAAAAGAATACTTTCCGATTTTTGTAAAAATGAAAAAAGTGAGAGCCAATAAGTGGGAAAGTTTAACGAGAAAGTATATATAAATAAAGAGACAGAGCAGCGAAATTTATATAGAAAATTTTCCGTTTCAGGAAGGATAATCATAAGAAGAACTCTCACCATAATGGGAAAGACAAATACATTTACAGGCGAGGAACAACAAATCGAGAATGCTAATCCAGGTGGGAGTTCGATTGAGGCATTTTTTGCAGAATCTGTCGTTCTCATAACAGGTGCAACTGGCTTTTTAGGAAAAGCACTAGTGGAAAAACTTTTACGATCATGCCCACGACTTGCCACAATTTTTATTTTAATCCGTCCAAAAAAGGGCCAAACGGTCGAGCAAAGATTTATGGAACTCATTGACAATCCGGTAATTAAATTATACTTCATTCTTCTTCTTCTTCTTTTTTTTTTTAATTTTTGGCTTTGACTAGTCATTCTTGAAATGCAGACTTCGCACTCGAGAATTAATTTTAAAAAAGTAGCAAAAAGTAGCTTTCATATTAAAAAAAGAGTACTAAAAAAGTAATTATCGAAAAATTAAACTTGACGACCAAAAAAACTCGTTTTAGACACTTTATACAAAATTGACAAAACTTCCATTCTGTATTTTATTTTTCCGACTTTTTCCCAATTTTCATCGAAAAATATATTTTCCTCTTTCTTATCCTGCTAATAAATTGAATTCCTGCAACGAATTTTATATTATTCGTATGAAAGAATTTAAATATTTATAAAAATAATTTAATTCTTACGAAAAATTTTTAAATAATTCATTTCTATCGACTAATTTTATGCAAATTCTAATTTAAATAATTGAATTCCTGAGAAATTTTTATTATTCATGAAAAGAATTGAATTCTTACGAAAATTTTTACAAATAATTTTTTTGAACAATTGAATTCTGTTTGGAAACTTTATGAAAATAAGTAAATATTAAAAATCATTGAATTGCGAAAAGTTTATAAAAATAATTAAATTTTACAAAGAATTCTATTCAAATTTTTCAGAAGAATTGAATGTCTGTGTGTCATTTTATTACATTTTTTAAAAAATAATTGAATTCCTAAAAATCATTTTATTATTTATGAAAATAATTGAATTCTCTGCGAACAATTTCATTAGAATTTTTTAAAATAATTGAATTTCCAAGAAAAAATGTATTACTTTTGAAAATATAATTGAATTTTTGTCATGAACATTGTTATTTATGAAAATAATTGAATTTTGCAAAGAATTTTTTTAAAATGCCTCAAAATAATTGAATTTTTGGGAATAATTTTGTTATTTATCTTTAATAATTGAATTCTGGAGAAGAATTATTTATTATGTAAATAATTGAATTCTTGTGAAGAATTTTATTAAAATCTAAAAGAATAATTGAATTATTTCAAAAAAATTTTATTAAAATTTTATTTAAAATAATTGATTTCTTTCGATCAATTTTATTAAAATATTTGAAAATATAATTGAATTCCTGTGAAAAATTCTAATATTTTTTTAAATAATTGAATTCTTGCAAAGAAGTTTACAAAAACATTTTTTTAAAATAATTTATTTGTTTCGGGAATTGAAATTAAATTTCTGAATAATTACATTTTTTTATGAGCAATTCCTAAAAAATTGTATTAAAAATAATTGAAATTCTGCAATGAATTTTATTATTTATGAAAATAATTGAATAGTTGCTAAGAATTGTATTCAAATTTCCAAAATATTTGAATCCCTGAGAGGAATTTTATTATTTATAAAAATAATTGAATTATTGCGAACGATTTTCTTAGAATTTTCTAAAATAGTTGAATTTTCAAAAAGAAATTTATTATTCTTAAAAATAATTGAATTCTTGTGATGAATATTGTTATTTATGAAAATAATTTGTATTTTGTATTTTGCAAACAATTTTATTAAAATATTTGAAAATATTTAAATTCCTATAAAAAAATTCTAATATTTTTGTAAATAATTAAATTCTTCTAAAGAATTTTAAAACAAGATTTTTTTAAATAATTGATTTTTTTGTGGAATTGAAATAAAATTTTCAAAAAAATTCCATTTTTTAAGCAATTCCTGTAAAATTGTATTAAAAATAATTAAAATCCTGCGATGAATTTTATTATTTATGAAAGTAATTCAATAGTTGCAAAGAATTTTATTAAAATTTTCAAAAATAATTGAATTTTTGAGAAGAATTTTATTATTTATAAAAATAATTGAATTAATGCAGAAAATGTTTATTAAAATGTTTAAAAAGAATTGAATTTCTGTGAAAAATTTTGTTATTTTCAAAAATAATTGAATTCTTCATATAAGAATTTTATAAACATTGCTTTGAATAATTAATTTTTTTGAAAAATAATAAATATTATGAAAATTTTATTTTAAACATTGGAATTCTCGTGAAAAACTTTATTTGTGAAAATAATTGAATTTTTCGATTAATTAATTAAAAATAATATTAAAAATAATTGAAATTTTTCTATGAATTTTGTTATTTATGAAAATAATTGAATTCTTTCTTAGAATTTAATCAAAGATTTTTTAAAAAATTGAATTTCCACGAAAAATGTTATGATTAGTGAAAGTAATTGAATTTATTGTATAAAAATTTTGTTAAATAATTGATTTTTTCGAAATTTTTTTGAAAATGCTATTCCAAAATAATTGAATTCCTGTGAAAATTTTATTAATTTATGAAAATAATTGAATTTTATCAATGATGATTTTATCAATGATGAATTTTATCAATTTTTTTTTTTCAAATAACTGAATTCTTTTGCGAAATTTAATGAAAATACTAGCTATTGAAAATTTAATTTCGAATATTTTTTGAAAATAATTGAATCGTTTTAAAGAATTTTGATTATAATTTTTGAGAATAGTTTTTTGATTTCTAGTTTTAGCGAATTTAAAAGTAGTGGAAATTCTAAAATAACAGAAATAGTAGCTTTTAGTGGCTAAAATCTAAAAAAAGTATCGAAATAGTAGCATAACGTTAAAAAAGTAGTAAATAGTAGGTTTTAGTAGGCAAATTTTAGGTCATGTTTTAGGCCATGTCTAGAATTGGCTCTGTTTTTTAAGCTTTGTCTTCAATTGGTTTTGTTTTTTAGGCTATGTCCACAAATGGCTCTTTTTATGTCCTTGTATCGAATTTAGCATAAAAATACAAAGAAATTTATTGTATTTTTATGTTATGTTCAAGAGAAGGACATCAAAAGAGTCTATTTTGAACATAGCCTTATTGTCCTTACGTTGACCATAACTTAATACAATAGATTTCTTTGTATTTTTCTGTTATGTTCGATATAAATACATAAAAAAGTCTATTGTGGGCATACCCTTAAGTTATGTTTAAAATAAGGTCATAAAAAGGGTCTATTGTGAAAATGGCTTTAAGTTTTGTTCAACATAAGGACATAAAAGAGCCTATTGTGGACAGAGCCTTAAGATATGTTCAACATAAGGACTTTTTCTTATTTTTCTTCAACATAAAGACATTTCTTTGTTATTTTATGTTAAGTTCAATATAAAGACACAAAAGAGGTCTATGTAGCCTTAAGTTATGTTAAACGAAAGGACATAAAATGAGCTATAATTTTTACGTCTTGACGTTGAACATAACGTAAAAATACAATATAGATTTCCTTGTGTTTTGGATTAATATTCAACATAAGGAGGTGGACAGCCTTATTTTATATTTAAACAATCAAAAAATTGCAGGTCTACGACAGAATTCGTTGGGAGTATCCTGGAACATTGAGTAAAGTAATTCCAGTGAAGGGGGACATGAGCCTACCCGAATTGGGTCTTAGTCCAGAAGACAAAGCAATGCTTATGCAACGTGTCAATGTTGTCTTTCACAGTGCAGCAACAGTGCGATTTGACGAACCCCTAAAAGTAGCTGTTAATCTAAACACAAAAGGCACTGATAGAATGATAGAACTTTGTAAAAGTATGTCGAATCTTGTCAGTATTATTCATGTCAGCACTGCTTACAGTAACGCTGATCTCTACGATATAAAGGAGGAAGTTTACAGGTAAACCTTTCACGCAATTATCTGATAGTTTTCTACATTCTTTTCTTTTCTTCTTTTAAATTTTTATTACTGCTTTCTTTCGCCTTGAATTCTTAACTGTTTGAACTGAAAATCTTCAAAATAGTTGTGTAATTTTTCTTGGTTTCGTAAAAAGAAAATTGTACTTAACGCTTATTGTCGACGCTGACTTCAGAGACCTAATTCATTACGATTTTTTTTTTTTTTGCAGTACGAAAGTAAAACCACACACGGTTATTGACATGTGTGAAAATTTGGACGACGAGACATTGAGAATATTGGAGAAAAAATTAATGGGAAGACATCCGAATACTTATACGTTGACAAAAGGATTAGCGGAGAATTTAATAATGACAAAGGGTGCTGGATTGCCGATTTCAATTGTCAGACCGAGTATTGTTTGTGCCGCTTATCAGGAACCATTCCCCGGATGGGTTGATAATGTCTGCGGAATAACAGGTGAGATTTTTTTTTTTATGCTAACTTGACCCCACTTTTATCGCCATCGAACGTAACTCTCATATAGTCCCCGCACGAGAAGTCTAAATAGTTTAAAAGAAATTACATTTTTTACTTGAAATTAAAAAAAAGGAAACAACTGATTCTGAATTGCGTTTATTTCAGGAATTATGATGGAAATCGGAAGAGGCACTATTCGAAGTATTGTTTGCAATGCAAGAATGGTTGTTGATGTTGTTCCAGTGGACTATGTCGTGGACACTCTCATTTGTGCCTCATGGCACAATGCAATCGAACGCACCAACAAACTTAGAGTTTACAATTGTACCAGTGGAACGTTCAATCCCGTTAAGTAAGTTCAAAATCGATTACGGAAATAGTACGCGAATAGTACGCAAATAGTATAAAAATGTAAAAAAAATAGTAATTAATAGCAATTGACATACTTAACATACCTGTGAATTAATCCAGATGGGGAGAATTCGGACGACTCACCAGAAAACACGCAATTGAATCTCCATCAAAGTACGTCATGTGGTATCCAGGAGTCACTTTTAGGACAAACAAATTTATCCACAAAATCGTGGTGGCAATGCTTCATTTTTTCCCGGCATTTTTGGTAGATATGGTCTTGAAATTCCAAGGGAGTAAACCCAAGTGAGTAATAATTATCTGGAAAAAGAAATAGAAAATATTAAACTTTACATAATTGCAAAACAATATCCCTCTGAGCACAAAAAACAGATTCGTTCCTAAAATGTTCTTAAAACATTTTTAGAACGTTTCATGTCCGACAAATATAATGTTCTAGAACATTATTTGAACATCCATGTTCCTAAAATGTTTTTGGAACATTATTTGGTCGTCATGAATCGTTCTAAAGTTTTAAGAACGTTTTTGGAACGAACATGGTCTTTATCCCAGAGGGATGTAACCGCATGACAATAATTGCAAAACAAATAAAATTTACATTAAAAAAAATTGTTTTTCATTCAACAGAATGATGAAGATCACACAACGCTTTCAGCGAGCAGCTCTCACTGGGGAATTTTTTGCCATTAATGAATGGTTCTTTCACGGCAATAATATGAGAGAATTAACGAAAGCCCTTAAGGAATCTAATGACTCGGGATGTTTTAATGTCGACATTGGAACATTAGACTGGGACACTTATGTGCATCGTTACATGCTTGGAATTAGAAAATACATTTTAAAAGACGGACCGGATACTTTGAGCAAAGCAAGAAATCGACTTCTAAAGTAAGTTAATCTAAATTTGTAACGTTCTACGAAGAAAGGAATTATAATAATTTTTACTATCTTCAGTATTATAATTTTTATTATCTTCAGTATTAGAATTTTTACTATCTTCAGTATTATAATTTTTACTATCTTCAGTATTATAATTTTTACTATCTTCAGTATTAAAATTTTTACTATCTTCAGTTTAATAATTTTTACTAACAATTGTACAGTAATGTTTACTGATAACAGTATTAAAATTTTTTCTACTGACTGTATAGTAACCTTTACCAGTGTCAGTATAGTAATTTTTACTAATTTCCGTATTTTGTAGTAGTTACTATGAATTTACAGTTATTTTTACTAGTTTCAGTATATAACAATTTTTACTAAGAACAGTACAGTAATTGACACTAATGTCAGTATAGAAATTTTTACTAATTTCAGTATTATAATAATTACTATAGACTGGAGCGTAATTTTTACTAGTGTCAGTATAATTTTTACTGACCACAGTATATAATATTTTTTGACTAAAACACGGCAAAAAGTTTTACTTAAAAGAGTGATAAAATTCTTTACAATAACAAAAGCGAAAGTATTAATAGAATCAACTAAAAATTTCGTTAATATAGTAAAATTTCTAACTAATGTTCCAGGTGAAAACTTTTTTCCGTGTTTTAGTAAAAAATACTATACTGTGGTCAGCAAAAATTACTATTCAGTCTTTAGTGAAAATTACTATACAGTTTTTAGTAAAATTGACTGTACAGTAATTTTCACTAATGTCAGTATAGTAATTTTTACTAAATTTAGTCATTTTCATTATTGTTAATATTATTATTTTTATTAATTATTTTTTTTTACTATTATTATTATTATTATTATTATTATTATTATTATTATTATCATTATTATTATTATCATTGTTATAATTATTTTTGTTGTTGTGGAAAATAAATATTAAACCATTTTTTAATTATCTTTACAGATTATATTGGATGCACAAATTTACACAATTTTTCAGTCTACTTCTTCTAGTGAAAATGATCGCACGAACTGGTCGGTGATAACTGTCAAAATGAGAAAAATAATCTTCTTTCATCCAGAAATAAAAAACAAGTCTCCGAATTAATTTTTTCCAAAAAATTGCTATTCAACACAATAACATAGCAAATGATTTATATAAATTTACAAAAATTCCCAATTCATCGACAATGGTGCTACAATATCTGACACTTTCCAATCACGTCAAAAAGTGCAAAAAAAGTATATTTTCCGAATTTATTTAATTTCTCATTTAAGTAAAATTTAAATTTAAAAATCGTACTTAAAAAAATTTGAGATATTTTTGATGTAATTAATAAAATTAAATTAATTAAAATAAAATAGTAAAGGAAAAATTCATTTTCATAAAAAAATTATATTTTCATCAATATTTAAGAGTAATGATAATATTATAAACAAATTGAAATATTAACAGACCAATATATTTTAATAATTTATAAAAAGGAAAGATTACAAATTTGCAAATAATTAAATCGCAATATTTTCTCATGAAGACTGATTATAAAATCTGTTTATGAACGATTTTGCCTTCATATTATACTATATATACAAATATATACAAAAAGATATTGTAATTATCGTAAATGTTTCTATTAAGATTATAATTTAATATTAATATATATGAAAAAGAATTTATTAAAAATGTGACCTGAGAAAAATGGAAATGTTCAACATTTCTCATAATAAAGTTAGGCGCCTATTAATTTATTAATATTATATAATATATAAAAATGTCTATTAAAGAAATATAATTTTTAATTAAATTGTCTTTATTTCTTAAAATATACTCAATAATAATAAGAAATAATAAAAATATCTAATAATAAGAGTAATAATAATAATAATTTCAACCTGGTATATTAACGTGTCGAGAAAAAAAAAATTCCCGAGTTTTATTAATGAATAGGTATAAGAAAATAAAATCTTTGACAAATTAAATTTATACCTCTAAACTTACCATTTTTCCTTATATTCTTCACTCAATTATGAGATTTTTTCAAGTGACAAATGGTTATAATTTTAAGTTTTATAAATTATAATCATTATAACTGCTGTGCTCGTTTCTTTAATTTTCTAGATAATTTACACTTCCTCACTGATTTTCACTGGATTAATCTACTATTTATGTATTTTGCAAATTGCGAGTAACGGATAAAATTAAAAGAATTATAGGTTATAATCGTTCAGGTTGCTTAATTTTCTAGATATTTACCTGATTTCATTCTAATTTGTTAGTGCTATTTATATATTTTGCAAGCTTTGCAACGTTTGCAACAGAAAACAGACTTATTGAAAAGTTTTGTAGGTTAGAATTGTTACCTTGTTTTAATTTTGTAGATGTTCACGATATTGCACTGATTGTCGCCAAAAACAAAAAACGAGAGAATAACTAGAGACATTTTCATAAAGTTTTTATGTACTTTTCTTTATTTCACTGACTCTCGAGTATTTAAATACTAAAAGTTCGTTAAAAATGATAAACGCGATCACTGGAATCACTGCAACTGTCAAGAAAGAGAAATGTGAATTGTGAAGTGAGGTATACGGGAAGTACCAACCGTACCAACAGAAAACTACAGTTATCTTGAGAGGCAACTTCAGACGACTTACCACCTGAGTTTAGATTAACTTCCGGCCGATGGGTGGCAGCACTGCACGTGCTCTGCGGCAAATGTAGAGATCAGTAGTAGTCAGGAAGTCACGAAAGTAAAAACTGTAAAATAAATACCATCAGTGTCTAATAATGATAAGTTTAAAGTTGAGAATGTATTCAAAAGTTGCTACTGCTCACAAATTAACAGGATGTAAGTATAAACTTCGTAGCATAATGAAAACCATGAAAACAAATTGTTAAAAATTTCGTTTGAAACTAAAATCTTTGACTCCAATATTAAAGGTCCTCCTCGTGTCAATATTGCAAGGAGAAGGCGTTCAAAAAGTTCTTGAAAACTGGTGTTTTTTCCTCTAATCGACGCATCAAATTCGTGAATAATAAAGTGAACAACGAACTTTGGGAATGAGGTAAGATTTACAAATATCTTAATCAATGAATCAAACTTGAAGCGGACATTTAAATTTCCCCTTAAAATCGCGTCAGCATGGTCAGTATTTTAATATTTCAGCGTAAATCTTTCTTTACATTTATTATTTATTATCGTAAATCTTTCAGGTTTAGTCCACAATAACGATTTTTAGGTTAAGTTAACGTGATACTGACAGGAACAATAGTTTATTGTCTTTTGTGTCAATTACGTGTGAACCTAACCTAAAAATCTATTGTGGAAACAATCTCATGTACAAATGAATGAATTAATTCAATTAAATCGTGATTTTAAGGTTATGTTACCTTCTGTTTATGTCGGTATTGCAAAATACTATTATATATGGGTTATTTAACAGAAATAAGACTGGATTTTTGATCAAAGTTATATTAAATTGGCTTTATATTGTAATTAACAGTTTACAGAGAATTACATTGTCATTTAAATTGCTCTACAATATTTAAATTACACAAATTGCATTATTTAAACTACACTAATTACATTATTTTTTTAATTTACTATTTTTTATTGCTATTTATTATTATTACTGTGAATTAAATTTCGTACAAAATACATTTTTTTACACTTAATACACTAGAATTAAATGCATTTACAATAGTACGCTGCAAATTTGAAACAATTTACTATTGAGTAATAATTAATTAACAGTTAACAGAAAAATTAATTAAGGTCAATATTAAAATTAATTAACATTTAACAGTAAAATTACTTAACAATTAACACTAAATAAATAAATTTTCACAGGCCTAGGCTGATTTTTTTTTTTAATCGTATATCACAACAAAAAGTGTGTTAATTTCCAAAACAGATTACGTATATATACACAAAAAAAATACTGAAATCGTTTGAATAAAAAAAAAATCGATCGTCATTATTTTGTATTAAACATATAATGAATTGCTAATGGGCTATAATGCGAATATAGACAAGAAATTGAATTAATTTAATGGGACATTTATATACGAGAGACGTATACGAGTTCGTTAAAAGCTCTCAATGTCATTTACTTGAATTGTTGTATCGACGTTTGTTTGAACAATAAGCCAATTTTCGTTTGTATTTAAACTACGTATGCTGATTCCCTTTGCTAAGAAGGCGCTCACAACAGCCGCTAGATCTTCTAATCCATTGTTTGTTTTATACAACGAAACATAATCTCGAAGAACAATTCCATTAGCAAATAGAGAATCATTGATCGACAGCAAAACAGGTTCATTGTCACGAATTGTTCCTGAAAAAAGAAAGAAATTAGTGTTCTCAAAAAAATCTATTGAGTCAAAAAATTTAATTTCAAAATATTTAGTTTCAAAAAATTATTCTCAAAAAATTTAGTTTCAAAAAATTATTAAAAATTATAGAAATTCAAATAATCGGTTATTTTACAAAAAATTATTTTACATTTTAATTCAATTATATTTGATTGTAAAAATTTGTCAAATATAAAGATTTGGAATATTTCGGAAAATTTTAATTTGGATTTTAAAAAATTTATAATTTAAAGATTTTGAAAATTTCTAATTTCAATACATTATAATAATCGTAAGTTTCCTTTCCGTTAGCAAATTATCTGCATTCATTTGTTTTTTTTGAAAATTAAATTTTGTGGGTTAAGTATTGGCATTTTTTATATATTTTTTAATGTCAAACTTTTTAATGTGGAAAATACTTTACTTATTAAATTGTCTCGACTCTTTGGTAAAAAATCTAAAATTATCAAAAATTCAAAAAAATTCAAAAATCCGATTTTCTTAAAATTCAACATTTTTTCTTCTGTTTTATGGGATTAAGCTTCATTATTTTTGTGCTTTTAGAAAATACTTTACTTATTAAATTGTCTCGACTCTTTGGTAAAAAATCTAAAATTTTAAAAATTCGAAAAAAATCAGATTTTCTTAAAATTCAACATTTTTTCTTCTGTTTTATGGGATTAAGCTTCATTATTTTTGTGCTTTTGGAAAATACTTTACTTATTAAATTGTCTCGACTCTTTGGTAAAAAATCTAAAATTATCAAAAATTCGAAAAAATTCAAAAATCCGATTTTCTTAAAATTCAACACTTTTTCCTCTCTTTTATGGGATTAAGCTTCATTATTTTTGTGCTTTTGGAAAATACTTTACTTATTAAATTGTCTCGACTCTTTGGTAAAAAATCTAAAATTATCAAAAATTCGAAAAAATTCAAAAATCCGATTTTCTTAAAATTCAACACTTTTTCCTCTCTTTGATGGGATTAAGCTTTATTATTTTTGTGCTTTTGGAAAATACTTTACTTATTAAATTGTCTCGACTCTTTGGTAAAAAATCTAAAATTTTAAAAATTCGAAAAAATTCAAAAATCAGATTTTCTTAAAATTCAACATTTTTTCTTCTGTTTTATAGAATTAAGCTTCATTATTTTTGTGCTTTTGGAAAATACTTTACTTATTAAATTGTCTCGACTCTTTGGTAAAAAATCTAAAATTATCAAAAATTCGAAAAAATTCAAAATTTTGATTTTCTTAAAATTCAACACTTTTTCCTCTCTTTTATGGGATTAAGCTTCATTATTTTTGTGCTTTTGGAAAATACTTTACTTATTAAATTGTCTCGACTCTTTGGTAAAAAATCTAAAATTATCAAAAATTCGAAAAAATTCAAAAATCCGATTTTCTTAAAATTCAACACTTTTTCTTCTGTTTTATGGGATTAAGCTTCATTATTTTTGTGCTTTTAGAAAATACTTTACTTATTAAATTGTCTCCACTCTTTGGTAAAAAATCTAAAATTATCAAAAATTCGAAAAAATTCAAAATTCCGGTTTTTTTAAAATTCAACACTTTTTCCTCTCTTTTATGGGATTAAGCTTCATTATTTTTGTGCTTTTGGAAAATACTTTACTTATTAAATTGTCTCGACTCTTTGGTAAAAAATCTAAAATTATCAAAAATTCAAAAAAATTCAAAAATCCGATTTTCTTAAAATTCAACATTTTTTCTTCTGTTTTATGGGATTAAGCTTCATTATTTTTGTGCTTTTAGAAAATACTTTACTTATTAAATTGTCTCGACTCTTTGGTAAAAAATCTAAAATTATCAAAAATTCGAAAAAATTCAAAATTCCGGTTTTTTAAAAATTCAACACTTTTTCCTCTCTTTTATGGGATTAAGCTTCATTATTTTTGTGCTTTTGGAAAATACTTTACTTATTAAATTGTCTCGACTCTTTGGTAAAAAATCTAAAATTATCAAAAATTCGAAAAAATTCAAAATTCCGGTTTTTTTAAAATTCAACACTTTTTCCTCTCTTTTATGGGATTAAGCTTCATTATTTTTGTGCTTTTGGAAAATACTTTACTTATTAAATTGTCTCGACTCTTTGGTAAAAAATCTAAAATTATCAAAAATTCAAAAAAATTCAAAAATCCGATTTTCTTAAAATTCAACATTTTTTCTTCTGTTTTATGGGATTAAGCTTCATTATTTTTGTGCTTTTAGAAAATACTTTACTTATTAAATTGTCTCGACTCTTTGGTAAAAAATCTAAAATTATCAAAAATTCGAAAAAATTCAAAAATCCGATTTTCTTAAAATTCAACACTTTTTCCTCTCTTTTATGGGATTAAGCTTCATTATTTTTGTGCTTTTGGAAAATACTTTACTTATTAAATTGTCTCGACTCTTTGGTAACAAAACTAAAATTATCAAAAATTCGAAAAAATTCAAAATTTTGATTTTCTTAAAATTCAACACTTTTTCCTCTCTTTTATGGGATTAAGCTTCATTATTTTTGTGCTTTTGGAAAATACTTTACTTATTAAATTGTCTCGACTCTTTGGTAAAAAATCTAAAATTATCAAAAATTCGAAAAAATTCAAAAATCCGATTTTCTTAAAATTCAACACTTTTTCCTCTCTTTTATGGGATTAAGCTTCATTATTTTTGTGCTTTTGGAAAATACTTTACTTATTAAATTGTCTCGACTCTTTGGTAAAAAATCTAAAATTTTAAAAATTCGAAAAAATTCAAAAATCAGATTTTCTTAAAATTCAACATTTTTTCTTCTGTTTTATGGGATTAAGCTTCATTATTTTTGTGCTTTTGGAAAATACTTTACTTATTAAATTGTCTCGACTCTTTGGTAAAAAATCTAAAATTATCAAAAATTCGAAAAAATTCAAAAATCCGATTTTCTTAAAATTCAACACTTTTTCCTCTCTTTTATGGGATTAAGCTTCATTATTTTTGTGCTTTTGGAAAATACTTTACTTATTAAATTGTCTCGACTCTTTGGTAAAAAATCTAAAATTATCAAAAATTCGAAAAAATTCAAAAATCCGATTTTCTTAAAATTCAACATTTTTTCTTCTCTTTTATAGGATTAAGCTTCATTATTTTTGTGCTTTTGGAAAATACTTTACTTATTAAATTGTCTCGACTCTTTGGTAAAAAATCTAAAATTATCAAAAATTCGAAAAAATTCAAAAATCCGATTTTCTTAAAATTCAACACTTTTTCCTCTCTTTTATGGGATTAAGCTTCATTATTTTTGTGCTTTTGGCAATTTTATTTTAAAAATATTTTAAATTTGAATATTTTGTATATTTCGAAGAATTTAGATTTAAATATTTTTAAATATTTGGAAAAATTGAAATTTGTAATTTAAAAGCTTTAAATTGGAATATTTTAATTTTTAAATATATTTCAAAAAATTAAGATTCAAATACTTTGTAAAAATTTAAATTTGAATATTTGGAAAAATTGAAATTCGTAGATTTCGAATATTTGGAAAAATTAAAAATTTTCATGGTAGAATAAGAAAACGAGTGGAAATAAATTACCTTTAATTTGATACTGATCAACTTTGACAATTACTGCACTTGTTTCTTCATTCATGTGACTCTCATTAATTTGCACGCCAATTTCTTTGGCCAATGTCGGCGCATTGACGAGATTTAAACCATTTTTCGTTTGACCCGTTAAAATTCCAACTAAAACTGCAGTGTGAATGAATTTCTTTAATTTCATTTCATCATCGCCAATTGTTTGACATTCAACAATTGTTTTTTTCTGATTTTTATTTAAAAATCGACCAATTAATTGACCCAGTCTCTTTGATAATTCAATCCATGGTAAATTTTCTTCTGACATTGCGGCAGTTAAAATTGGCGCATTCACTATTCCAGTGACATTATATTTTGTCGATTTTCCCGATAGTGCTAAAATTTGCTCGGCAATTTCAACTGCAACACGTTGTTGTGCTTCTTCTGTGCTTGCACCTGTCATGGAACAAAGGGAGAAATTATTTATTAATATCGATTAAATTATCAATTAATAATTAATTATTGATTACAAAAGAATTTTTTTCTAATTCTAAAAAAAAATAATAAAATAATAAAAAAAACAATTAAAAAAATTCTAAAATAGATTTTTAGAAGAAAATTTTTTTTTGAAAAATAAATGTAAATATTCAAATAGTTAACTAATTGAGCATAAATTAACTCAAATGAATTTTCTTCTCAATTTAGAATAATTTTTGAAAATATTAAAATCTTCATTTAAAGCAAATAATGAGTTTACTCACATAATATTTTTTTACAATTTTATTATTGACCAATAGCGGAATTTAATGAAGAACAAATATTAACTCAGAATACAACTGTGGGTTCATATTGATCAATTAAATTAATTGAATGATAAATAAATTATTCTGCATTTAATTATATTTATAATAATTTGCCAAGGAAACTATATATATATTTTATGTACACATACAATTTTCGATGAATAAATATTTATCTCTTTAATTTAATTTTAATTTATATATCATACAAGAAGTAGAAATAACGAAAAGAAAAAAAAATCTGAGGTAATTAATTAAAAATGTCCTCTTTCTGAAAAAGTGACTAAACAGAAAACTATAAATTATGTAATATAAAAAAAAGAAGAAGAAGAAACGACTCTTATTGTCCGTGAAAAATTTAAAACTCTTGGAAAGTAACCAAAGTACTATCTCGAAAGTTAACTTTTTGATAAACGTGTATTTAAAAACTAATTTTTCCATTCTACAAGATAATTTTATCGAAAATAAAAATTGTTGTGCATTTTGCATTTTCTGATTTTTCTAAATTCAATTTAATCAAAACTTGAATAAATATTTAAATGTTTATTTATTTTTCCACGAGGAATTAAAATTTTTTTTAATTTCAATTTCAAGGCTTTTGAAATTTAATTATTTTCTAAAAACAATATGTTTCGAAAGAAATTCCAAAATACATTTTTAATTAAATTTTTTTCAAAAAATTGAATTATTTTCATAAATAATGAAATACTTTGTAACAATAAAATTTTTGTCAAAATAATTTTTAGAAAATTCTATGTAGAAATTTAATTAATTTCAAAAATTGGTCAAAATTCAATTATTTTCAATGTCTACTATTTCAATAAAATTTCACAAAAGAATTCAATTATTGAAAAATATATTTTCATAAAATTCGTCTCAGGAATTCAATTATTTTCAAAAGTATTCTAATTCTTCGCAGAAATCCAATTATGATAAAAAATTTAGAAAAATTCTCGTCAAAATTTCAATTATTTATAAAAATAATAAAATTCCTCTGCAAAATTAAATTATTTTCAAAAATTATAATAAAATTCATGGCAGAATTTCAATTATTTTTAATACAATTTTCATCAAATTTCTCAACAAATGAAATTGTTTTAAAAATTTTTTTTTCAAATTTGTCAAGAGAATTTAATTATTTAAAAACTTTGTTGATAAAATTCTTTATATATGAAAATTCAATTTTAAGAAACATTTAATTATTTAATAAAATATTTTTTTTTTTAGTTAAATAATTGAATTCTCGTAGAATTTTCTAATTAAATATTGATTTCAAAATCAATTTCAGTTAAAATTTTAGATTATAAATAAATATTGAAAGCATTATAGCGTGAATTTTTAGAAATAATTGAATTTTCAAAAGGTTTAAAATTAAAATCTCGCTGAAAATTTGAATTCAATTATTTTCATAAATATTAAAAATCTTTGCAGAATTTCAATTCAATTTCAATTCAATGATTTTCAAAAGTAATCAACATCTTTTCCACAATTCAATTATTTTAAAAAATTTAAATAAAATTCTTGTTAAAATTCAATTTTTTTTTAAATTTTTAATAAAATTTTTTGCAAAATATCAATTATTTTCAAAAATTTCTCTCAATTCTTATATAAATTCAATTATTTTCATAAATAAAACTCATTGCAGAATTTCAATTATTTTTAATATAATTTTAATCGAATTCCTCGAAAAATGTAATTGTTCTTAAAAATTTTATTAAAATTCGTCAAAAGAATTCAATTCTTTAAAAAATATGTTGATAAAATTTTTTATGGTAATTGAATTTTAAGAAATATTCAATTATTCAATAATTTATTTATTTGCATTTTATTTGTATTTAAATAAATGAATTCTAGTAGAATTTTTAAATAAAAATTGATTTAAAAATTAATTTCAGTTAAAATTTTAGATAATAATTGAATATTGAATTTTTTGAAATAATTGAATTAAAATCTTTGAAAATCTAAATTTTTCATATTTTTAACTAACAATTCTGTGTAATTAATTTTTTTTTTTGGGAATTTTTTTTTGAAATTATTTAAAGTTTTTATTTTCTAATATACATTTAATTGAAGAATTTACGAGTAATTGAAATTTCGTAAAATTGAATTTTGTAAACAAATTGATTTGAAAATTCTCAAAGAACTTTTTGAAAATTTATTAAAATTTATTTATTAAAAAAATTGACTTAAAAATTAATAAAAAAAAAAAATACTAAATTAATTACAAGAATAATAAAGTAATAGAAAAATTAAAAAAAAGTAACTAATTTTCTTGTATTATAAAATAGAATTTTTATCTTATTATACTTTTCGAAGGCAAAGGAAATAAAATGAAAAAAAAAATTGAAAACTAATTTAATTTGAGGCAGAAAATAAAAGTTTCATTAAATATAAAACCAAAGGATGCTTAAATTTTATTATAAAATATATAAAATGAAATCAATCGAAATAAAGATTTTTATTATATTCGAATAAGAATCGTTTACTAGACAATTGAAGCAGAAAACACGATTTTTTCTCCCTAGATTGTCAATAAGCCAATACGAAGTCCCACAAAATATAACAAGAATATTGTCATAATAAAGAATGTAATATTACTTTTTCCAAAAGTTTTCTGTAAATTTTTCTCTTCCTTTTTATTTTATCGTAAAAAAAAATTACACGACCAGTGGAAATGCGGACAATAATAACTTTTAATATATTCTACAAGTTGTTGGAAAAAATAAATTTTTTTTTCTTTATTATTACTATTCTTGCGCTTCATATAACTGTATATGATGGATTGAGGGAGGGAGGTGGGGGGGGGTGAGGGAGGAATAAAAAAAATACCTAGGAATAGTTAATTGCTTACCGAGATGGGGTGTGGCGATAACCTTTGGATGCTGGATAAGTTCCAAAGTAATAGGATTCTTTGGCGGCTCTTGAATAAAAACATCCAATGCTGCACCTCCACAATGACCAATTTTAATCGAATTGAGTAGCGCTTCTTCATCGATGATTCCACCTCGGGCGACATTTATTATATTTACTCCTTTTTTGCATTTTCCTAATGTCGTCGCGTTTATCAAATCTGCGAACAGGCAGGAGAAAATTTTTGCATTTTAGAAAATTAAATTTTTCAACTATAAAATAATAATAATAATAATAAAAGTAATAAAAATAATAAAAAAAGAATATAAATAATAAAAATAATATAAATAATAAAAATAATATAAATAATAAAAATAATAAAAATAGTAAAAACAATAAAAATTATAAAGATAATAAAAATTATAAAGATAATAAAAATAGTAAAAATAATAAAAATAATAAAAATAATAAACAAGTTGTTCATTTTATGACCATTAAGCTTCCTCAATATATAAAAATTGCGGTTTTGCAAACTTTTGAAAAATTATGTACAAAAGGGTTCGTCCAGAAGATTGGTTAAAAATAAAATTATATAAATCATTTATAAGTTGTTGTATAAATATTTGGTGAAATTTACACTTTCATTTGCCAATTGCTTCTATTTTATGATAGAATAATCATTTCAAAATATTAATATTAATATTAAATTAATTATGAAAAAAATACCAAATTTGAATTTTTTGTGAAAAAGAAAAATATTTATTAATTTTATAAATTTTGATAAAATATATACTTTGTATACATCAATCGATTCGTTTTCTTGCCAGGAATGTAATTTTGAGAATAATTAATAAAAATATTAACAAATAAAAAAATTATTTCAGAAAATACAAAAAAAAAAATTTTCTGAATTTTAAAAAAATTGTATAAAAAAAAATTTTGTACATATTTTTGAAAATCCTTGTGTCAGATTTCAGGTATTAATGACTGCAATAAACCTGCAAAATTTCAGGACAATCCATCAAAATTTGTCTGAGATAATTTGTACACAATTTTTGTGACATACACACACACACACATACACACATACACACACACATACACACATACATACACACACACATACATCTGGACATTTGCTCATAATTGAATATACATATGTTCTAGATGAAAATGAGTCCATATAACCTTGTTTTGAAAAATTGAAAATCGTCACCAATGCAAAGCTTCCTCATGAGGAAGCAAAATAATAAAAATAATAAAAATAATAAAAATAATAAAAACAATAAAAATTATAAAGATAATAAAAATAATAAAAAGAATAAAAATAATACAAATAATAAAAATAATAAAAAAAAAAAAATAATAATAATAATAATAATAATTAATAAACTATTATTAAAAATAATTATTACAATACTTATTATTGTAAAACTTATAATTAGTTTACAGTAATTATTACACTCAAGGAGCGTTTGAATTTGAATTTGAATTTCGCGCCTAAAAGTTCATTAAATTCCCGCCTAGATGGCATAAAAATTCTCTCATAAACGAAGCGAAGCGAATAGGAAAAAGAAAATAAAACTGAATAGCTACAATTTTTTGTCAATTTTTTTACAATTTCCAATTAACTGATACAAAATAATATGAATAACTTGATCAATTAATATTAATTAATAAATTAATATAGAAAAAATAAAACAAAAATTATTTTGTCATTATTTATAAAATTAATAAAAATCGTTATTTCCGGAGTGAATTTTGAAAAAAGAATATTAGACAAATTTATTTCGAAAATATGAGGATAATAATAATAATAATGAAGAATTGACTTTAATTCACGGGACATTATTATAATTGCGCTGAAAAATTCAACAATGTGAAAATTGATTTTAAGTTAAATTATTATATCAGTGTCATAGGTGGGTCAAACTGATTGATATCTACTTAATTCGATTCCATAATACCAGCACTGAAATTCGAACTATTCACTCACCTCTCGTTAATGTTAAATATAATTAGAAATTCTGGTAATAGGGATATTATAATAATAGTTATATTAGTTATTACTTATTACCGTTTATCGTTTATTATTATTATTATTATTATTATTATTATTATTATTATTATTATTATTATTATTATTAATTATTCATTTTTATTAATTTTTCAATTTGAAAATTACAAAAAGCAAGAAAAAAAGTCCCTGTGACGATAAAAAGTTTTTTAAATAAATTAATTGAAAAGAAAAAAAAATTTCTTTAATATGATTTTAGATTAAAAAAAAAATTCAAAAAAAAAATAAAAGTTTTTTGACGCTGAAATTACAAATGATTGCAGAAATTCAATTATAAAATTCGTCGCAGATATTCAATTATGTATTTCAAAAATTTTTTAAAATTCGTTTTAAAATTTCAATTATTTTTTTAGAAATTAATTAAATTTTTCTCTGAAATTCAATTATTTTCACAAATTTTAATAAAATTCTTGGCAAAATTTCAAATATTTTCCAAAATTTTCCTCAATTCAATGATTTTTAATATCTAGTATTTTAATAAAATTTTCCAAAAGAATTCAATTATTTAAAAAAAAAAATTTAATAAAATTCTACACAAACCTTTAATTATTTTTCATAAAATAATAAAAATTTATTATCGAGAGTAATAATATTCTTAGTAAAAATTAAATATTCTTAAAAATTAAGAAAATTCTTCTTAGGAATTCAATTATTTTTAAAAAATAATAAAACTCATCGCAGAATTTCAATTATTTTTAATAAAATTTTAATCGAATTTCTCGAAAGATGTAATTATTCTTAAAAAATTTATTAAAATTCGTCTTCTAAAAAATTCAATTATATAAATATTTGTAGATAAAATTCTTTATGGGAATTGAATTTTAAGAAATATTCAATTATTTATTTTTTTATTTAAATAATTGAATTCTAGTAGAATTTTTAAATAAAAATTAATTAAAAAATGGATTTCAGTTAAAATTTTTGATTAAAATTTAATATTAAAAGCATTAGAGCGCAAATTTTTGGAAATAATTGAATTTTGAAAAAGTTTCAAATTAAAATCTTTGAAAATCTGAATTTTTCATATTTTTAACTGACAATTCTGTGGAATTAATTTTTTTTTAAGAAACTTTGATTGAATTTTTTTATATTAATTGAAGTTTTTTATTTTCTAATATATATTCAATTTGAAGAATTTACGAATAATTGAAATTTTGTAAAATTGAATTTGAAAATAAATTTGAAAATTCTCAAAGAACTTTTTCAATAATTATTAAAAATAATGCATTTATAGAAGAATTTTAGTTAAAAATAAAAACACGAAAAGAAATTTTAATTTTGAAAAAGTTGCAAATTATTGCAGAAATCCAAATATTTTCAAGAGTTTTTTTTTTCGCAAAAATTAAATATTGTTAAAAAAATAATAAAATTCTTCTTAGGAATTCAATTATTTTCATAAATAGTAAAACTAATTTTATAGAATTTCAATTATTTTTAAATTTTTAATACAATTTTAATCAAATTTCTTGAAAAATGTAATTATTCTTTTAAAGATTTGTATAAAATTCGTCGAAAGAATTCAATTCTTTAAAAAATTGTTTATAAAATTCTTTTAAGAGAATTGAATTTTAAGAAATAGTCAATTATTCAAGAAATTATTTATTTGCATTTTATTTGTATTTAAATAATTGAATTCTCGTAGAATTTTCTACTAAAAAATTGATTTAAAAATGAATTTCATTAAAAATTTTAGATAATGAATATTAAGAAGCGTTAGAGCGTGAATTTGTCGAAATATGTAATTGAATTTTGAAATTAATTTTTTTTTGAAAAAGTTTAATTCAATTTTTTTTAATGTTATTTTAGGTTTTTATTTTCCTATGTTGAAGAATTTACGAATAATTGAAATTTCGTAAAATTAAATATTGTAAACACATGGATTTGAAAAAAATTTTTTTGAAAAATAATTCAATTTTTTTATGTTCTGTTAGGTTTTTATTTTCTTATATTGAAGAATTTACGAATAATTGAAATTTCGTGAAATTAAATATTGTAAACAAATGGATTTGAAAATTTGTCAAAGAACTTTTTCGGAAAATTATTAAAAATAAATATAGATAATCGATTTAAAGAAGAATTTTAGTTAAAAAGTCTTGAAAGTAGTAATTGAATTGATAATGATTTTATCACTCGGTCATTTTTAATTATTAGAAAAAAAAAATTTTAGAAAAATTTAATTTATAGTTTTAGGTAAAATGTTCTCTTATTTCTTCTCTTTATTTGGACTGGTTATATTTTTGTTCGTAAATGGTCCGTAATTTATTTTTTTTATAAAATTTATTATTTTTTTTATTAAATATAAAAAAAAAATTTTTTAATTTTTTTATTAAATATAAATATATATTTTTTTTAATTTTTTATTTATTAACTAATATTATAATTATCATGAATATATACTCACTTTTCGTTTGAGGAATGAGGGGAGTGTGAACGGTAATGTAGTCGGCGATTGGCCAAATTTCTTCGAGGCTTAATTTTGTAATGTTCAATTGTTGGGCAATTTGTTGTGGGAGCATTGGATCAAATGCGACAATATTCATTCCAAATGATTGCATTCTTTGAGCCACTTCACGACCAATACGACCAAATCCAATAATTGCGAGTGTTTTTCCTAATAGCTCAAAGCCCGAATATAATTTTCGATCCCATCGTCCCTCCTTTAATGATTGACTTGCCTGCACGACATTTCTCGCCAGTGCTGATATCAGGGAACATGTCAATTCACATGCACTGATACTGTTGCCTCCTGGCGTACTGCAATTTTCATTATGGTCAAAATTTTATTAATTACGTCAAAAACTATAATTATATAAAATTATTATTTTTTATTTGAACCAAATAGAATAAAATGATAAATAAAGTTTTTATTAGAATCGTATAAAATTGTATTTAAAATTTTAAAACAAATAAAAAGTTTAGTCAGTTCTGAGTCAAATATAGGTATCATTTTTCAAGCTGTATATTAATTAATTATACATTGTTAATTATAATAATGTTTTAATTTAATTATTTTGAAAAAGAAAATTTTGAAACTTAAAAAATTATTTTTTTTTAAATTAGTAGTAGAGGGGGAAATGTTTGATTTTATTTAATTACCAGTAGAGGGGAGAAGAGGGGGAAAAAACTGCCAACGCAATATATTTCAAGTCATTGGAAATGTTATTACCAAAATTTAAATATATTACATATGAAGACTGTATTAAACATGATTTATGCGTTCTATGAAGTTTTGTCATTAAAGAAGGCTTCCAATAATGTTTTATGGGCGAAATTTTTCGAGCAATAAATTTAAACGAAATAAAAAAAATTACACTATTCCCGTTCGTTATAAGACAAAAGACATTTTTTTTCCCCCTTTTAAATTTTTGAATAAATTTTCTAAAAATGAATTCTTAATTACAAAGTTCTTGAATTATGCGACTAAAAAAATATAAAGGAAAATTTTTGTTTTTAATTCTTTTCGAAATTATGATGTAAATTAAAATGTATTTTAATATGTAAAGGAACTTATTTAATAATAGAAATATTTTCTTTATTAAAGAGTTATTTTAATAAAGCAATAATTTTTCATTATACAATGCTACTTTTAATACTATAGAAATTTTCATTATAAATTACATAGTTTCCATAATACAACCCACGTGAAAAAGTTCTCGAGAATTTCCCGAGAGTGAAAATGAAAATCAAAAAAATTCTAGGGAATTTCTCGGTATCATTTATTCGCGTGGGAAAAATTTTTATTATAAAATAACAGAATTTTAATAACAGAAAAAATTTTCATAAAATATCGATTTTAATAATAGTGGAAATTTTTTTAAAATACTAATTTTAATGAGAGGACAGAATTTTGATTAGGTATATATAATGCTGTAATTGTAATAAGAGAACAAATTTTCTTTGTAAAATTTACTAATTTTAATTATAGAAGGCAAAATTGAATTTATAAATTATAATAGATTCTTTATAGGAAAAATATTGACTTGGATAATTAGGGTGAATAAATATGTGAAGGTGAGTGTATATATATATTCAATAAATAGATTTCATTATCGATTGTGCCAATTCACACTCTAAACAGGCTAAATTAAATTTAGCTCATCCTGAAACTTACTTTAAAACAACAATTCCTTTTCGCGTGGCAGCTGAAAGATCGATGTTGTCAACACCAGTACCAGCTCTGCCGACTACTCGTAGATTCGACACAGAAGCTAGAATTTCTGCCGTAACTTTTGTTTCCGATCTAACTATCAGGGCCTCGTGTTTCTGCAAAACAATATTTGACATTATTCATTCAATATTATTATTGGCTTTTCAAGTTTAAGCTGCAAATTTCGTTTTCTTCGTTATAAACTTTCTAAAAACCTTTTTGTTTCGTTTTCTTATTAAATTTTTTTTTTCGTAACAAAATAGACGAATATCTTCTTTTACTTTCAATTCTTGAAGAAAATTTAAATAGTAATGGAAATAATAATAATTACAATAATAAAAAAAAATAATTGAAAAATAAAAAAAAAATAATAATAGTAAAAAAAAAAACAATAATAATAATAATAATAATAATAATAATAATAATAATAATAATAACAATAATGAAAACGACTAAATTTAGTAAAAATTACAATACTGATATTAGTGAAAATTACCGTACAGTCAATTTTACTAAAAACTGTACAGTAATTTTCACTAAAGACTGAATAGTAATTTTTGCTGACCACAGTATAGTATTTTTTACTAAAACACGAAAAAAAGTTTTCACCGCCGTGTTTTAGTCAAAAAATATTATATACTGTGGTCAGTAAAAATTATACTGACACTAGTAAAAATTACGCTCCAGTCTACAGTAATTATTATAATACTGAAATTAGTAAAAATTTCTATACTGACATTAGTGTAAATTACTGTACAGTTCTTAGTAAAAATTGTTATATACTGAAACTAGTAAAAATAACTGTAAGTTCATAGTAACTACTACAAAATACGGAAATTAGTAAAAATTACTATACTGACACTGGTAAAAGTTACTATACAGTCCGTAGTAAATATTCTAATACTGTTATCAGTAAAAAATTACTGTACAGTTATTAGTAAAAATAAAAACTGAATATAGTAACAATTTTAATACTGAAGATAGTAAAAATTTTAATACTGAAGATAGTAAAAATTACAATACTGAAGATAATAAAAATTATAATACTCTGGTAGTAAAAATTGTTATACTGACACTAGTAAAAATTACTGTACCAGTAAATATTTTAATATTGAATTTAGTAAAAATTACTATACTGATATTAGTAAAAATTACTGTACAATCTCTAGTAAAAATTACAATAAATAATAATTAATAATAAAAATAATAATTAATAATAAAAATAATAATTAATAATAATTACAATAATTATTAATAATAATAATAATTGTAATTTCGTTTTTAATTTAGGCAAATTTTTTAAATTTGAAGAAATATTTTTTAAAAATTATTCAAATATACATTTTTATGAAATTAATTAAAATAAATTAATAATAAAAATTATAAATTATAATTAAAAATATACAATTTAAAAAAAACAAGAAATTCTATTTTTTTTACACAAAAAGAAAGTGTTTCCATCGATTGAAAATTGCTATCAATTATATTAAATTATCGTTGAAGAATCTTCATTATTATAATTGAAATATTAAGGAATATAGAAAAAAAAGAATGGAGGAAAAAAATTAAAATAAAATTGTATTATCTGTGCTCTTACTTTTCTTATGCAAGTATTATATATCAATTGAAAATGAATATTAAATATGCCATTATTTCATTTCATCAAAAGAAATTCTGCTTCCCTAACAAATTGAAGAAAAAAAGCTTTCTCATAATGAACGTAATTACCGAGAACTCCATTAATGATTATACAATGTTTTTTTTAAACTTTAATTTTTAATGCAAAGTGAGAGAATATTGTTTAAAATATTATAATTTTATGTTTTTTTTCTTTTTTACTTCTAAACAAAATTAAAAAATTGTTGAACAATTGTGATCAAGAAATAGAAAATTTATTTATTTTCCATTATTTTTGTTTATGAATCACAATTTTTTTAAGAAAATTATTATTTTATTTTAGAAAAAGAAGAAATTTGCACAATTTTTATTTTTAATCTTATTTTTGGAACAGGATTTTCCACAGGAATTAAGACATTCAAAAATTTTAAATTCAAACCTTTTTTTAAATTAAACAACTTATAAAAGTATTTGTTATAAAACATGAAGATATCGATTGCTTCGAGTCGAAGACTCGGAGTGATCGATTTCTTCATGTTTTCTAATAAATTAAAGATGACCGAGAGATAAAATCATTATTTTATATCATAAAAATATTGTTACTGTAACTTCATCAAAATTAAGTATTAAATTTGAAAGATTAAATTAAATTAAATTTGAATTCATTCATCAAAATTATTTTTATCATTTTAATTCAATTATTATTTTCCAGAATTTTAAATTATTTTTTATGAAAATATATGAATTCCTTAAAAAAATTTTATTATTTATGAAAATAATTGAATTTACTGTGAAATTTTTATTATTTATGAAAATAATTAAATGTTTGCATAAAATTTTATTAAAATTTTTTTTTAAATAATTGAATTCTTTTTGGGAAATTTTATTAAAATAGTAGATATTGAAAATCATTGAAATTAGAAAAATGCATTTTATTTTTGAAAATAATTGAAATTAGGACAAGAATTTTTTTGACATTTATGAAAATAATTGAACTTTAGTGAAGAATTTTGTTATTTATAAAGATAATTAGGATTTTTACGAGAATTTTTATAAAATTTTGTACATAGTTGAATTTTATAAGAAGAATTTTATTTATTTTTTTTTTTTTGAAAATAATTGAATTTTTGCAATTATTTGTAATTTCTCCAAAATTGAATGTTTTTAGTGTTTTCAACAAAAATTTAAATTAGAAAATTTTTAAATTCTATTAATTTTAAAATTGCTAATTTTATTTTTAATTTTTTTTAAAAAATTGAGTAAAGTAGATTATTTGTCTATTATCTAATAAATATTTACTTTAATCAAATAATTTTTATTCAAATCAAATAAATTGTATTTGAACCAATAATTTAAGTAATTGAAGGAAATACTATATGATTTTAATTGATTGAATTAAAAAATAATTGATGACATAAAATTATTTGATTCGAATAAATATTTATTTAATAATTATAGCCAAGTAATCATTAATTTGAATCAAATAAAATTTATTCCATTGTAGAAATTCGAGAATATATAATAATAATAATAATAATAATAATAATAATAATAATAATAATAATAATAATAATAATAATAATAATAATAAATAATAATAATAAATAATAATAATACAAATAAACTAATAATAATATGAATAGTAATAATAGTAATAAATTAATATTAAATAATATAATTAATTAGCATTAATTATCATTTTAGTAGGTATTATTTATATTGATCATTGTCAAAGTAGGTGAAAATAAAAGCCGAAGAATATATTTATATAAAGTAAGATATAAAGTATTTCTGTTTAGTCTCATCTCTTGGGAAGTTATAATTAGATAATTGTACATATAATTAAGTTCCATTGTTAGGAAAAAAAAAGAAAAACCATGTCACGATATCAGAAACTGGTTATATGTAAATAAAATTTCTTTATGGCGATTGCGATAAAATAGACAATGTGGTACATCGACCCCCCTCATTTTCTAGTTTTCTTGAAATACAAACTAGTCGAAAGCAGTTAATTGCATTGGATCTGCTGCGATTAATATTAATGAAGTCTGACCTCTTGGTCAAATGTTCTGTTCAATAACTAATAACACATACATCTCCTAGGACTGAGATCAAACTAGAAACTTCCCCTTTTTAATGAATTATTTATCGGAAAAGAAATATATATCGTTAAATATATAAGTACGTAAAACGAAATATCCGAATGTTTCCTGAATATTTCATTGAATTATTTCATCCATGAAATTTTTGCTTGTAAATATTTTTATCAAAATTAAGTTCTGTCATTAAATTTATTTTATAAATTTATTTATTACCTTTAGGTAGATAATAAATTTATTTATTAAATTTAATTAATAAATTTGTTTATTAAGTTTCTTCATTAAATTTAGTTATTAAATTTTTTTATTTATTTTCTTCTTAAAAATTTTTTATCAACTATTAATTAATAATTTTATTTATTAGGTTTAATTAATAAAATTGTTTATTAAGTTTCTTTATTAAATTTAGTTATTAAATTTTGTTATTTAATTTTGTTATTTAATTTCTTCTTTAAAATTTTTTATTAACAATTAATTAATGAATTTATTTACTGAGTTTATTTATTAAATTTAGTTAATAAACTTATTTATTAAGTTTCTTCATTAAAATTATTTATTAACTTTTAATTAATAATTTTATTTACTGAGTTTATTTATTAAGTTTAATTAAGAAACTTGTTTATTAAGTTTCTTTATTAAAATTATTTATTAACTTTTAATTAATGAATTTATTTACTGAGTTTATTTATTAAGTTTAATTAATAAACTTGCTTATTAAGTTTCTTTATTAAAATTATTTATTAACTTTTATTTAATAAACTTGTTTCTTAAGTTTATTTATTAAATTTAATGAATAAATTTGTTTACTGAGTTTATTTATTGAATTTATTTAATAAACCAGTTTATTAAGTTTATTTATTAAAAATTAATAAACTTATTAATTCAAAAAAGAAAACATTTAAATTTTTTTTTTTCTTCAAAATTTGTTATTTATTTTATTTTTTATACATTATTTTATATATAAGAGATACATGCAAGCAGTTTTTAAAAAAAAAAAGTAAAACATGCGCGACTATTTCATGTGATAAAATTTGCAAAAATTAATCTTTTTGTTTCTCAGCGTCCGCGTGTTTAAAAAAAAGTAAAATTAAGTTAAATGCAAAAAAAAAAAAAATACAGTCAAATTAGTGAATGAATGAAGAAAATTAACGAATATAATGTAATCGTCGAGTTTTGTAATTCCCAAATCTAATCTTAATTAGTTGCCTTTGTCGTGAATTAAATTAAAAAGATGAAAAAAAAGAGGAAAATTATAAGAAGAAAAACTTTTGGCGCACTACTGGACCAATTTAATAATAATAGAGTATACAGGAACATAAAAAAATCAAGTTATATCAATGTTTTCGGAACCTATAACCCATATTCCTAGGCAATTTTTATCCTACTTTAAATGTATATATTCAAAATTTGTTTTGGCACCGCGGCTTTTTAACGATGATAACGTCAATATTTTTTGTTAGTCAAATTCTTCTGCTAGAAAAATAAGAGTTGAAGGAAATTATTTATTGCTTCTTGTTTTTATATTTGTTATTATTCTGTTTTTTTTGTATTTTCATCACTATTTTGTTTTTGTATTTTCGATATTAGTTTGTATCTTTGTATTTTTGTTACTATTTTGTTTTTTCCTATTTTTGATATTGTTTTTTCTATTTTTAAAATTTTTTTGTTTCTTGTTTCTTTGTATTTTTGTTACTATTTTGTTTTTTTTATTTTTTTTTTCTTTCCCATTTTTGATATTGTTTTGTCTTTTCTTTTTTTTAATTACTTTGTTTCTTGTTTCTTTGTATTTTTATTGTTACTATTTTGTTTTTTTCTATTTTTGATATTTATTTTTTTTTTGTTTTTTCTACTTTTTCTACTTTTACTATTTTTCTATTTTTTTCTATTTTTGTTATTTTGTTTTTCGCTAATTATTTTTTTCTGTTATAATTTCGTTTTTTGTTATTATTTCGCTTTTTTGTTATTTATTTTCAATATAAAATTACAAAAAAAGTATGAAAATGAAATATTTTTACAATAAGAAAAATTATTGGATTCAATTTTTTTGTTAGTTCTTTTTACTTTGCGTTAATTTAGTTTAATTTAATTTAACAAAGTGAATAATATTTTCGAAAAACAAAATGTAGGGCTGCAATTTTGAATTAATATTCAGACTTTTTTTTTTGAAGGCACAATTTTGAAATTGATCTTAGGGACATATTTTGCATTTTAATTTAATCAATTTCCAATTCTAAACTTTGGCTGCAAGCCAAAAAAAAAAAGCTTTATTACTTTTTGAGAAAGAAGAAGTTAAACGTTAAAGTTCGTGTAGAATTTTTTAAAGGTGATGCTTTTATTTTTTGTTCGCAAAACTGACGACAGAAGAATTTTAATATAATTTTTATTTATTGTTACTGTTACTATTATTTTTTCTTATTAATATTATAGTTATTACTATTAATGTATTATTATTAATAGTTTATAATTTAAATAAATAATAAATTAATATTTTTAATCATAAATAATATATATTTATTAAATATAAATTATTAAATATAAATTATTAAATATAAAATATTAAATATATAATTAATAATTAAATAATATATTTATAAAATTATATTAAATATAAAAAAAATTAGATTAGAAAAAAGTTAAATATAATAATTAGTTAAATTTGAATAATTTACAATTGATAAAAAATTGTAGCTGCTTGAAAATAGTTTATTAATAAATTCGTACTTTTTTTTCGAAAATAGATACAAAAGATTTTTTTTTTTTTTTATTAAAAAATGTAAATTTGTTAATAAAGATTTTTTACTGTCTTTCCTCTATAAAAGCATATGTGAAGCGTTATAATAGGCAGATTTAACGTCCTAAAAGGGTCTTAGAATTTTCATTTGCATGGCAATAAGTTTATAATTATAATATAAATCGATTTGTTTCAATTTTAGTAAAAAGATTTCTAAAAAGTGCGCTTCAATAATTTATTTATGAAGAGAAATTTATTTTTTAACTGCGCCGAAACAAATTTATTCATAAATTTGTCAAAATTAATTTTTTACTTTAAAAAATAAATATATTTAGGAAAAAAAATATATATAAATTAAAAAAAATTTTTTATAAAAATCAAAAAAGATAAATTAAAATTATAAGGAAACGGAAAAAATTATCAAATTAATTTAATTTAATTAACAATTTAATTTACTTTGTATATAAAAAAATATTTTTTTGTGAAACAGCTGCAAATTTCGCTATAATAATTAAATTATTTACAATTTGATAAAAGAAAAAATTAATATATATGATTAATAAAAAAAATTGAGAGAAAATATAAAAATTATAAAATAAAATAAAAATAATTAACGAATTATTCATATTAGTCATATATTTAATTATTATTGATGAAATTTACCTTTAATTCACTTATGAGTTCGTCCTTTGATAATTTGTATTTGACAGTCACAGAAACTCCGTGAGCAGTAAGAAGTGCTGCACATGATTCATCCACAGGATCACTGATTAAGACTTTTTCTATATTAACTGGCATTTTGACCTTTAAACAGAAAATGCAATTTTTAATTCACAAAATAACATTTTTTTTCTCTACTTTACAATATTTTTCTCATGAAAAAAAATCGGGATAAAATAAATATAAACTTTAAAAAAAAATATAAAAATTACAGTTAAAAATATTAAAATAAATAATAACAATAAATATAATAAAATTTTATTTGAATGTAACGGATATTTAATTATTACATTAATTTTATTATAAATATTAATTATCTTATAAAATTATTAACTTTGGTTATCGATTTTTATTTTATTATTATTTAACTTCAGTGACTTGAGAATCGAAAATATTTATTAATAAAAAAAAAATTATTTAAAACAACAAAATTCCACGTCAATGACCTTCATTATTCAACAAATAATATTTATTATTTTTCAATATTGACACCATTATTTAAAAAAAAAAAAAATTACAAACCATTAAAATTTTAATATTTTAGTAAAATAATGTAAAGTATTAATTATTTTATAATTTAATAATAAAAATATGAATAATATAAATAATAAAACAATCATATTAATATTGTAAATAATAATAATAAATTATTTGTTTATTTATTTTTTATTTGATAAAAAAATTAAATATTAATTTAATATTAATATTAATTTAATATTAATATTAAATTAATATTAATATTAATATTAATATTAATATTAATATTAATATTAATATTAATATTAATATTAATATTAATATTAATATTAAATTATTAAGTTATTAATATTAATAATATTAATAATTATAGTAAAAAAGTAAAATAAAAATAAAAATATTCGTTTTGAATATAAAAAATAAATAAATTTTGTAGTTGTAGAAAAAAAGTATTTACCGGTTTTTTTTTCGTAACTTGGGAAAAAAAGTGAATTTGCAAAAATTCTGAAAATCCTCGTATTTAAATGCAAACGTTATCACTTACTGTCTTTATTCTACTGAAAGTTGGCTTCTTATAGTCGACTCCCTCTACTTTGATTGATAAAGTTTTTAGGGTGGGGGGGATGATGTGTGTCCCAAACAAGTATTTTGCCGTCACAATGTCAATTTGTTTTGACATCCCTGAACTTAAATTAATAATGATTTAGCAGCCTCATTTTGATTATCGTCTAAATATCGAAGAATAGAAATTACGTTTATAATATACGTAATTGTACGTATTTTTTCCGCAATTAAAACGTTTTTTTTTTTATTTTCATTAATTGAAGAAATTTTTTTTTTTTTAAACATTTTACGTCACTTGCACTACCACGATATTTATCGACTCTGAATTGAAAGTTTAAAACCAACGGAAATTAAACGTCTAACTTGTCAAAAAATATTTACTGCGTAAAACAACAAAGTTTAAAAATGACAAATTTTGTATATAAATTTTGGAAAAAAAAAGAAAAAAAATTGTTTGCTGAAGAAAAGATTTGACTCACTTTTGTATTTATTTTGATGCAAGTTGAAAGCACAAACTGTGATTTATTCAAAATTAATTAAATTCTTCCCGCAGATTAATTTCCGTACTTTTTGTTGTTTTCAATTAAATTTGTTTCACTCTTGGTTATATTGTATATATGAATAAATTTAGAGTATAGCGTATTTATGCGGTATTGTATATATATATAGTTGATAAAATTTAATAAAATTTGTTTATAAACCGTGCATTGAAAATTTATTTCTCACTTGTGAATAAAATTCTTATGGTATTTTTAGTTTTAATGAGCAATTCAGTATGCAGGTTGTTTTTTGGTGTATTAATATTTTTTTTTTGGTGTAATAAGAAATAAGTTGAATTAAATAGATGCAAAGTGTATTAGAAATGTATACGTGTGTATAAATTTCGAATTCGAAAATGTCCTTAAATGTTATTTTCTGCATGGATGCTTTGGTGAAATGGACATCTTTTTTTTTTTTTTGTTCATTTTTAGTATATGTGGAATCTACATACATTGAATAGTATCGGAACAATTCAATTAATTCTCTGTACAAAAAACAATGCGAAAGACAATGTGATTTTGTAAAATTGCATTGTCACGTGTTACAACAAGCAATTTCTGTTAGACAAAACAGAAGTAATACGATTTATAGAGAGGGGAGAAACAAAAATATATACTCAAATTGAAAGAATATTTTTTTTTTGTAAACTTTCTATTTCAACCGTATTGAAATTTGCGTTAAAATTGCCTCAATGTGGTCATTGAATTTCTGTACAATATTATGGAATATCAAAATTTTTTCCATAATTTTTTTGTTCAAACTATAGGCAGTAAAAAAAAATTTTAAACTTTTATTTCTAGAGGAATTTTTACTAATTAGAAAGTATTTCTTAAACTGTCTATTTCTTTGGCTTTTTCTGCTTCTCAACCTTTTTTTAGAGTAAATTTTACTATGTTTAAAGTATATTTTGATATTAAGTTAAAAAAAAAAATTTTAATAATTTTTTTTTTCAAATTTACTTCTTTGAGAATAGTTAAATTTACTTATTTGGAAATAGGGAAAATTTACGTCTTCCAAAATAGTGTGAAATTTAATTATACAAGAAAATAGTGATATTCACTTTTCTAGACTTCTTTAGAAAATCCGAAATAGTAAAATTTACTTTTACAGAAATTTGGAAATAATAAAATTTGTTTAGTATTAAAAAATAGAGTAAAATAAAATTTACTTTTACTTTTTTTAGAGTAAATTTTACTATGTTTGAAGTATATTTTGATATTAACTTAAAAAAAAAATTTTAATAATTTTTTTTTTAAATTTACTTCTTTGAGAATAGTTAAATTTACTTATTTGGAAATAGGAAAAATTGACGTCTTCCAAAATAGTGTGAAATTTAATTATACAAGAAAATAGTGATATTTACTTTTCTAGACTTCTTTAGAAAATCCGAAATAGTAAAATTTACTTTTACAGAAATTTGGAAACAATAAAATTTTGTTTAGTATTAAAAAATAGAGTAAAATAGAATTTACTTTCAAATTCGAAAATGAAAAAATTTAATTTATCCAAACTAGTGAAATTTACTTTCTCAAAAATTGTAAAATTTATTAATTTGGAAACAGTAAAATTTACTTATTTGAAAATAATAAAATTTACTTACAGAAAAATTCGGAAATAGTAAAATTTACTTCTTCATAAAAAATAGTGAGAAATTTATTTATTTGAAAATAGTAAAATTTACTTCTTCGAAGATTTGTAAATAACAAAATTCACTTATTTTAAAATATAAACTTTACTTCATTGGAAATTTGGAAATAGTAAAATTTTTTGTTATTTGAAAATAGTGCAATTTTCTTATTCGAAAATAAATAAAATTTTATTCTTCAGAAATGGTAGAAAATTAATTTTTTTTCGAATATTCAAATTTATTTATTTATTTATTTACTTACAAGTTTACTTATTAAAAAGTTCAGAAATTATAAAATTTACTTCTTCAAAAAAGTGGGGAATTTCCTTATTCGAAAATAGTAAAATTTACTTCATCAAAAATAGTAAATATTTATTTATTTAAAAAGAGTAATATTTATTTATTTAAAAAGAGTAAAATTTATTTCTTTTTAAATTTGTAAATAATGAAATTTATTTCTTAAAGAATTTAAAGGCAGTGAAATTTACTTCTAAAGAAATAGTACTAATTGACTTATTTAAACATAGTAAAATTTACATTTTGAAAAATTAAGAAATTGTAAAATTTACTACTTCAAAAATAGTGGGAAATTTGCTTATTTGGAAATAGTAAAATTTACTTCTCAAAAAATTCCTAAATAGTAAAATTTACTTATTAAAAATTTTTTAAATATAGTAAACTTTTTTGTCATTTGAAAAAACTAATTTTTTTATTCGAAAATAGTAAAATTTAATTCATCAAAAACAGTGAATATTTATTTATTTGAAAATAGTAAAATTGATTTTTGTTTAAAATTCGGAAATAATAAAATTTACATCTTAAATAATTTAAAAACAGTAAAATTTACTTCTTAAAAAATAGTACTAATTTACTTATTTAAAAATAGTAAAATTCACTTTTTAAAAAACTAAAAAAATTGTAAAATTTACTACTTAAAAAATAGTGGGAAATTTACTTATTTGAAAATACATAGTAAAATTTACTTTCTCGGAAATAGTGCAAAATTTACTAATTTGGAAACAGTAAAATTTACTTTATCGAAAATAGTGCAAAATTTACTAAATTGGAAACAATAAAATTTACTTTATCGAAAATAGTAAAATTTACTTCTTGGAAAAGTAAGAAATAGTAAAATTAAGTCATTTTAAGACAGCTCACTTTACTTACTCAAAAATTGTAATACTTACTTCTTCGGATTTGTATAAATAACAATATTTACTTATTTCGAAATATAGTAAACTTTTCTTCATTACAAATTTGGAAATAGTAAAATTTTTTGTTATTTGAAAATAGTGCAATTTTCTTATTCGAAAATAGTTAATTATAATTCTTCAGAAATAGTAGTAATTTACTTCTTCAGAAATAGTAGTAATTTACTTATTTCAAAATAGTAAAATTTACTTTTTAAAAAATTCAGAAATTGTAAAATTTACTTCTTCAAAAATATTGATAAATTTAGGTATTTGAAAATAGTCAAATTTACTTGTAAAAAATGCAGAAATTGTAAAATTCAGTTTTTCAAAAATGGTGGGTTTCCTTATATATGTAAATTGTAAAATTTACTTCTCAAAAAATTCGGAAATAGTCAAATTTACTTATTTAAAAATTTTAAGATACCCAATGGGAAATTTACAACTGGCGGAGTACTGCGCCAGCACTGGCAGTACTGGCAGCTACGCTGAGAGACAGCACTGGCATAACTCTGGGATGATAACGCTGTCTAACGCTGGCGAAGTACTGCCTGCCAGTGCTGCCAGACAGCGCTGGCACAGCACTGGACCAGTGCTGGCTGAGAATATTGCCGCAATAAATGCCGTATTGTTATTAATTAGTCGTAAATTAATAATTATAAATAATTTAACAACAAAATGGTAAATAATATTAATAAATAGTTATTATTCATAAAATATTTTTCTTTTTAATTAAATTGTATTAAATATGGAGACTAACAATGGATATAGTAACTGAAGTAGAAAAAAATTGTTTATAACATTTAAAAATTAAATAATAAACAATTACAGTAAGTGTGCATTAGATTTTCATATTTTAGTACCTAACGATTGGAATCTAGAAATATCGCAAACCTATGAAAATAAACAAAATTGCTGACGAGGGGAATCGAACCTACGACCTACGGACTAACAGACTAACGCTCTAACCACTATGCTAACGACACATGTGTACAGTAAAGTATTAATATCTCAGTATCATTCAGACATACAATTATTGAGTCAAAGATGAGAAAAAAATAGGGATACGTTAGAAATAATAAATTGAAATAAAATAAATTAAACTAAATTTTTAATAATTCAATTAAATTACTTTACTTATTGCATTTAACATTTTACGTAATTCTGAAATTACGTAGTAATTTTTTAATAATTTTTTATTCATAGTAAGAAGTATAATAGTATTTTAATAGGATCCAAATTATTATTGAGATTAAAGTTTAAATTTTTTTATAATTCTAATTTGTTTAAATAATTTATTATTTACAAAATTAGACAATTATGTTAAATTGTTATTATTAAATTTAATAAAAATAAAAAATGAACAACTGAAAAGTAAAATATTAATTTTTTTCAATAAATTTATATTTATAAACATTCATAAACTTTTTTTATAATTTTTTTCAAGTTTATGTCAAAAAAGCAATGTTGGCAAAGAGCGTTGTGAACAATTTTTCTATACTCAGCCAGCACTTGCCGCCGTGGCTTGGCCAAGCTTTGGCGAAACAAAAATTCTGTACTGCGCCAGCACTAATTGTCGAGGCTCGGCTAGACTACGCCGAACAATTGTCTGAGTACTAAGCCAGTGGTGAACATCGGCACTACACTGGCATTTCCCATTGG